AAAAGTCAAAATATATTACATCAATACCATTACCTTTATCAACCTAACTTGTTATCTCAAAGATGTCAAATTAGTTTGACAGGATCTATTTTCTGTAACATGCAGCCAGTGCATTCTGGGGCCAGGGTAATGGCTGCCAAGGAGCCAGAGGCAGTGGAGGAGGAGAGCTGAGCAACATGGGGATGTTTGTTTTTTTTTATTTTTTAAAGCCACAGAAATTAAATTATCGAAAAACTTAATTAACACAGACTTAAGGTTGTCCAGCACTGTCACATGTCAGTGCAGAATGTGGAGAGTAGCTAAATTTAAACCTCTGAAAACCAGGAAATACCAAGATACATGCCACACCCACAACACAACCTTAAGTCTGCCCCCCTGGAGCTGGCAATAGCCATTGTGAATGGTTCAGTAAGGGGGTAGACAGACAGGAGGAAGTTCTGAAAGAATGTTACAGTATTTGTTTTGTGCTCCGCAGCTTTGGATTGCAGCATTTAACTGCATGCACTCTAGCTGCCTTCACCACGTCAAGTGTAGCTGTATTGGATGGTGAAGGGATTAGTTAGAGCAACTTAACAGAACTGTTACTGTAATATGACTAGGTGCATTGAAGGATCCACTATGCCTCATTTCAGCACTGAGTTCTGCAGGTTGCATCTGCAGAGGTGCACCCGGGTGTCTTCTTGCCATGGCATTTGTCAGCAGTCTGCTGCCATGCAGGGCAACATCTCCAAGGCTTAGTGAAGGCAGTGTCTCAGGTGGAATCCTCAGAGCAAGGGTGAAGGGCTGGTAACCATCCAACTTTTTGTATGTTATGTGTAGAATCAGTGTTTGAATGGAGATACTGCATACTGCACCTTAGCTTGAGTTTTGCTGTAGCCACAGGTGTTGAGCACGGTAGACAGTCTTATGTGCTCTCTTCCCAGTGTTCTGCAGCATTAGGAGAGGGTGCTAGTACGCGCATTGGTCAAAGATGGCAGAGTTAAGAGTGCGTTGCAGAGACGGCATGCATCTTAACTTGGTATTTCCTCATTTTCAGATGTTTAAGTTTAGCCACTCTCCACATTTTGGAGGGCACAAGGCTGCTCTGGGCAATTTGAACTCTGCATTAATGAAGTTTTTGGGCATGTCACAATGTTCTATAAAGACAGCGTTTATCCCTACCACACAGTTTAGCGACTTAAGACTAAATTGAGGGACACCCCACGTATGGAAATGAGAAGTTAGGGGATAAGTCCCCTGCATTCCTTGCTATCTTCAGATTGCTTAAACAGTGCTGCCATTAACACTCCGATACGCCACAAGGCTTCACTTCCGCCTCCCCTGGACACTGAAAAGCAATCCATACTCCAGTGCCATCCGACCCGCCCTCTAAATGCAAAACTTGAACTGGCAACCTCATATGCACTTGGAGCAATAAATTGGCACATCCTTCTGTCACCCATTCCATGCATTTGGGAAGTTATTCTTTCTTTACATTGCTAAGGCCACAATTAAGGCTGTATCTACCCTACAGACTGCTGTTGCCACGGCTATGTGGGACAGGAGCATGAAGAGATGTGATCCCTGACCAACACAGCCATGCTGTCAAAACCCTCATATAGATGAAATATTACCACCAAAGTTGTGCTTTTATGGGTATAGCTTGTTTTGCTTGGGGTAGGTGTGGAATAAGCTACATCAGCAGAAGTAGCTGAGTTTTGCCAATAAAAGCTGCATCCACACTAGGCATGCTTTGTTGCTAGAGTATACCTAATACTACCTAGCACAGCTACAGCCTCAGGCACTAGAAGGGGACTTGATGTAGACTTTCCCAATAGGTCACAAAATGATCTGGTAAACAGCTGTAGAAAATTAGAGATCAGGAAGCCTGGGTTCTAATGCCAGCTCTGAAATGACACTGTAAGGTAAAGCTTCACAGCATTACCAAAGAACACCTGTAGTTTTGGGTCTACCATATTAGAGAGCTGGGTTCTATTCACAACTACATCTGAAGTAAACTTGTTTTTAACCTGTTGGCTTATTTGCAAAGGGAGCATGGCTCATAGCTGATTGCTTTCTAAAGTTGTAATCATGGTCTAGGTTGATCAGGACGGTGAAGTGCAAGAACTGTAGAGAGACTAGTCATGGGCTTGTGGTTCTTCACTCAGGGCACTGTACCCTAATCTACAGCGTATTTGATGGCTCTCTCTCACACACAGCTACCATCATACTGGGCACAGTCCATCACCCAAATACCTATGCAGACTGCCGCATTAACTGCTATGGGGAGGAATAGCAACAGTGATAAATGTCTGCTTCATTCTGATGTATTTAGGGAACACAACTTTAAAAACATTTACAGAGCAAAACAGAGAAGTGATACCTGCTTCTAAACTGGCATTGCTCTAAGCAGCAGGTGTAAAGTTAGTAGGACCAAATACATTTAAAAAAAAAACCACAGCAGACCACAGCTTATAGGTTTTTGCAAGATCCCACAAATTATTTTTTTTTTAAAAAGTGATTTTTTTTTTAAACTTTTGAGTATCACCCCAATCTGCACCAAACCAACATGAACTCCAATATGAATTAAAATTCAGAGGCTATATTTCATGTGGTGGCCACTTTTACATTTCTTAAAAATAATTTTAAGATTTCTAGTCAAAATGAAAGCTTTGTATCCACATGGACTAGACACTTTTTTAAAATGAACATTTCGATTCTGGAACAAAGGATGAATTGCAGTAAGTACCACCACCAGTAAGCTGCAAAGTCCATATGGCCCTGCCATATGTTACCACGAATGGAAGTTCTGACTTTGCTTAGTAGTATATAGGCCAATGTTTCTAGAACAAAGAATCAGGGTTCTAGGCTCTAGCCTGCAGATTTATCTGGTCATGGTCTGGTTGGTTGTAGCAAGCCACCAAACTATTTTTCCTGGAATGTATGATGAAAGATGGTCATGCTTAGTTTATTAAAAGTTATCCTTAATAGAAGTCATTCAGTAGCAGCTACACATTATTTGCCACTATTCCCCTTCACTTGTAACTCTGCACAGGAAGAGTATTATTGTCATTAAGTTTAGGGTACACAAGAATTTTTTGAACACTTACAGGCAATTGGTCAACACATATTTAGAGGCTCAAAATTGACATTATGTAAACAAAGATTAGGTCACTACCCAGAAAACCCATCTTCAGTAGAGTACTTCTAGCTTTACCTACTGTAAAATACCATTAGAATTTGAGGCATAGGCAAATTCCCAAAACTTCACTTGTTTACAAAAATTGGCTTTGGCCTTGGCCTTGCCTACTGTGATGGAAGGCTACATTTATTGCATGGCCAGGTAGGTGGCCTTAAGCATCTACGCAGAGCCAGGAAGAAGGAGAAGCCTGCAGATACTTGCTAAGCTCCAAAACAGGAAGAACTGGTTTGTTTGAGGGGGATGGCAGGGAGTAAAGATTGTAAATTGAAGATTATAATTGTAAACAGAGACTAATATAGTCTCAATCAAAGCAGGGAGCTGCATGAAAAAGAGTTGAGTCCAATTTTAATATGGATAGTAAGAAGCAAGATGTTATCTTACTTGCCTTTGAATGCTAGGGGATGGGTGAACTGGAGGGCAAGTTGTAGGATATCAGTGGTGGTTCTATGAGAGCTAGAAACTAAGAAATTCGTATGAATGAAGATGGGTGTAAGAAGAGTTCTGGTGCCTAGAATGAGGTAGGGAAAAACAGAAACAGAGTTAAGTTATTTAAATGCTATTTGATATATTCGAACGTAATTGGGGTATGTGAATATTCATATGCTTTCACTCATTTCTACATATATTTTTCTAAAAAGTAACCTTCCTTGGTAAACAGAGTAGCAACCTTTTAGTCCTGTAAATTTCTATGGGTTTGACAAAGTCCCATTTCAGTAACTTACTGTAGTCATCCTCCTAATTCTCTTGCCTCTTCATAATTAATATCTTAAAGTCAAATTTCCTGAAGCCAATGTAGGTACATGCATGTAGGCACAGTCTTAAAGGCCTTATTCAAAATGGCAATATGCCACAAGCTTCAGATCACTGCATGGTGAACTATTCCAGAAAAAACACCCCTACTGATCAGGCTTCAGGTGGCCTCTGGTATTATGGCCATGTTTAAGAGATCAGTAGTGACTGCTATGCCATACTGGTGTACCTACTTCAGACCACTATAGTAAACATTTTGAAATTTGACCCTGTGCCTCAACATTTACACTAGACAGCAAACAAGCTGCTTGTCATGTTAACACTGTCTGTGTTGCAAGATCATGATAGAAAATTCTACATAGATGAACACCTATAGTTTAGAAGCTGTGCAGTTCTACTGTATACTGACAACTAGGCTAACTTCCATGTTATGGAGGAATGAATGCAAGTAGGGAGGAAGAAGTCAGGTTTATAAAGAAAACTCATCAGCTACAGCTACCAGCACTCTATATTCTAGGGAAGTTCCACAGATGTTGGAGCCATTAAAGAAGCTCAAGGCAGCTTGTCCCAAAATGATGCCCTGTCATCCAGCAGAGATATACCCCTCTTTTCTGCACATGCATCCATGATGGAGCATTAGCCAGCAGAGATTTATCTGTACAAAACTGGTTCAGTTTCCTGCAGGGACATGCTTTGAAATATCATGGAAGTGTTAAACTTTTGATTTGTGAGCTTGACGAATATACTCAGAATTAAAAAGTCAGCGACTAACCTATGGCAACTTTAGGAAATATTTGTGAATATTCACAAGGCACAATTTAGCTGGAGATCTCAGAAGGGTTATATTAGCCTTATAGATGAGAAAAAAAAACAAAAAAAGAGAAGTGATTTTTTCCAAATCAGCAGCAAAGTTGAGTGGAGCTCAGGGCTCAGTGCAGCAGACCACAGCTATTGTGCAGTATTGTTTCAGTTTAGGAGGGCTGCATCTCAAGATCTCCACCTATTAAGAGTATCACCAGGACACTTACTACTCACCTCCACCTTCAGAAATTAAGGCGCACACAGGGAGTAATCTCAGTGTAGTGCTTTATCTCCACCCACCGAAAACATTCACCTTTAAATGAAAGCATTTTACAAACAATACAATGTCAACACCACTTATTTTTGCTTTGCATTAAAAAGGAAGAGTAAAACATTGGGAAGAGTACTACAGTCACATGGAAATTATGCAGAATTTTACAGCATACACTGCAGAATTTTAAACCCTGGATTTGAGGCTCCTTTTGCTTCCAGGAAGGCTGGCTAAGGGACAACCCACTTTTTTTAAATATATAAAAGTTTTACAGGGAAGATAGTAAGAGATTTAATCTGCCGGATTGTGATTTAGTACGAAGTGCATTAGCACAATTTGTTTTGTACACATGCTCAAAAGAAATTCTCCTATTACAAAGCCATCTAAAAACCTGGACTGCACAAAACCTAGCTACTAAAATGAAGGTTTGGTAAAAAAAAAATCTATTTCCAAAAACACTTTACAGATAGAGGCGTTCAACTGCCATAACTAGGTAAAAGTTTAGTAGAATGATAACCAAAAACATACTATGAAATTTCACAGATAGTTATGCTTTAAAAACAAAACAAAAACAAAACAAAAAACAAACAAACAAAAAAAAACAAAACAAAAACAAAAAACAACTTAATGTTGGGTCTTAAACAGGTCAGCTTCCCCATCCAGAGTCTACTCCACGGGCTCATCCTCTTCTGCTGCAGTAACTCCTTTGCTTTCTTCCTCACCTCCTTCCAGCAGTTGCTCTTCCTCCTCAGCAGTGAGGGTTTCCTCTGCAACTTGTGAATTCTTCTCCTCTGCATATCCTGCTTCTACTTCTGCCTGTGCCTCTGCCTGAATCTCCTCTTGCTCCCCATGATTCTCAGTTGCTTTTGCTTCTGGGTTCTCCTCTCGGTCTTGGCTTTCCTCATCTTTATTTTCTTCATCTTGGTTTTCTGTGTCAATCTTGTTTTCATCCGCTCCTTCAGCTATTCCCTCCTCTGCATTTCCACTTGTTCCACCCTCTCCTTCCTCATGCTCCTCTTTCTCTTCTGGATCATCTGTGAAGGGATTCTCACCCTGTAAGTCAAGACAGAATTATGTTGAAGCTGTATTTGGACAGGTTCTTGGCAGATGTTAGCTAAGACCTTACTTAATTTCACACAAATTCCAGGTACATGAGATCCTCCTTCAGGGCATGAATATTTCTGATCATTAGGCTGGGACCAGCACTTGGAAGTTCTCTGTATGTGAAAGTATTTGTACAAAACCAGAGGGTTTAACCCTGGCCAGCTGTAAGTTAGTGACCCTTACAGCAGTGTGTGGTGAAGGCACCCATGGAGGTTTGCTTTGTTACTGAGAGTTAATTTTATATTATGTGGACGTTACTTGTAGCTCCCCTGTTCCTTCTCCCAGCAAAGTCCAATAAACTATTCAAGTGCCACGTTTCTGCAGATATAAGCAGACTGCTTTCAGACCAATGAAGTTACGAGAAAAGTAAAAAGACTTGGTATACTTGGTCTATTGAAAGCAGAGCTGTTTGTAATGTCAGGAACAGGGGATGTTCAGACTCTGGGAGCCCTCCTGATAAAGTTGAGCTGTTGGAGACTTATTCTGTATCAAATGTAAAGTGACACTCTCCCATCCCCTGTTTTAGAAGGTTTTTACCAGACCTCATCTACACTGAGAATTCACACCAGTTACAGACAGCAGTGTGACTGTACTGATACAAACTGGCAAAACTGTTGTAAACCAATGTTTGCACTGGTGCAAATCACCCCCTCTCAAAGCAGGGACAGCTGCAGTGGCACACACTGCAGCTTATTGTAGTTTTGCTTGTCCACACTAGGGGTATGTGCAGCTACACCAATGCCTACACTGGGGATTTCAGACAGCCAAAGGCTTAGTCTTGCAACCCATTTTCAATTCTGATTTAAGCAACCAACATTCAAGAAGTCTATCCATAGTAGAGCTGGATACCAATCTAAAGGTGGGGTTCCAAGCTACCCAATGTTGTGCAGCACCCATGCTAACTGACAGTTTGGAGAAGAACTACTAAAAACCAAGCTGTAACGGAAGACAGGAAGATATAAGACTTGTTAGAATGTCAGTGATAGAGGCACTTTAAGTACTAACAGAAAGACAAGAGCTCAAACCACGATCACCACAGATCAGCAAAGCTATGGACAAATGCTATCACGCAATGCACTGTCAACCTGTGGAACTTCTTGCCAGAGGGTCTTGTGAAGGCCAATGTTATAAAGGGATTCAAAAGGGAGCTAGATAGATTCATGGAGGATAGGTCCATCAATGGCTATTAGCCAGGATGGGCAGAAATGGTGTCCCTAGCCTCTGTTTGCCAGAAGCTGGGATTGGGTGACAGGAGATGGATCACTTGATGATAACCTGTCTGTTCATTCCCTTTGGCTGTCAGAGGACAGGACACTGGGCTTGATGGACCTTTGGTCTGACCCAGTATGGCCGTTCTTATGTTCTTAAGTGGAAAGCCAGGCTTTCTAACCAGGTGCATACTATTAGTTTCCAGCCCTCATGCTTGGCAAGGTATTAGCCTTCAGAATGGTCACTAAACGCAGAGACAAGTGGTGACTTTTTGGTACTAGCCCTGGACTTCCCATGGACCAACTACTGCCTTGGCATCAACGACAAGTTTTTGCATATAAGTGGATCATAGGCCCCAGCCTAAAAAGGAGAGGGTTACTCACCTTGTGCAGTAACTAAAAGTTCTTTGAGATGCGTGTCCCTGTGGGTGCTCCACGTCAGGTGTTGGTGAGTCCTGGTGCCATTGATCGGAGATTTTCAGTAGCAGTGCCTGGTCAGGACGGACGTGCGCAGTAGCTGTCTCACGGCACTGTTGGTGCCTCATCTAGCGTGCACACAGTCCGACCCCTTCAGTTTCTTTTTTACCGTTGAGTCTTTAATGCAAACTCTGAAGTAGAGGGGAGGAGGGTGGACAGTGGAGCAACTTCTTTGGGTGCTGACCCTGTGGGTGCTCCACTTCAGGTGACTGTAAAGCAGTGCCCTACTGTTGATGGAAGGGCTTCCAAGTTGTATTCATAGTTGACGCTAGCACCGTTAGGCCTAGTATCGCATCTGAGTCTGAGCTTTGCATTATTGCATTGCGATTAATTAATGTGTGTTCAGACGCTCAAGCGGTGGCCCAACATATCTCTGGGATTGGTACATTATTTAAAAAAGGTGCTGAGGTCCACACTGATCTGTTCAAATGGGCTCTGATCTCTGTCGGGGATTCTCTTTTTTTGTTGTTGACAGCACAGGTGGATGCAATTTGAGATCCATTTTGAAAGTCTTTATTTTGATATTGCAGATCCCTTTGACCTTTCAGCCGGGAGACAAAAAGTCTTCAGAATGGTTTCGTTCTATCTAGGTAGAATGCTAATGCACGTCTCACATCTAGAGTGTGGAGGATGGTCTCTTGTGTAATCTCATGTGGTTTAGGGTAAGTGAATTGATTGGTTGAGATGAAAGGATGATGAAACCTTGGGGACAAATTTTGGGTGTGATCATAGTGTCACTTTGTCTTTGAAGAATACAGTGTATGGCTGGTGGGCCATGAGAGCCTCTATTTCACAACCTTGTTGCACATAAATAATCGTGACCAGGAATGCAACTTTCATTGAGAGGTGTAGTACAGAACAAGCCCCAAGTGAGTTCGAATGGTGTTTTGGTAAGGCCTCCAAGGACCAGATTTAGATCCCATGCTGGTGTGGAGTTGTATATTTCTGGGTACATTTTCTGTATTCCCATTAGGAAATGCTTTCTGATCGAGTGTGTGAATACTGAGACACCATCAATCTTATGATGGAAAGCAGTTATGGCTGCTAGATGTACTTTAACCGTACTTGTGGAGAGTCCTGATTGCTTTAGTTCCAATATGTACTCCAAGAACAAATGAAGAGGTGCTATAAGTGCAGTTATGCATTTGTTTTGGCATCACATGGAGAACCTCTTCCATTTCTGTAAGTAAGCTGCACGAGTGGATGTCTTTCTGCTGTTGAGTAAAACCCAATTAACCTGTTCTGAGCAGGTTAATTCTTTGTGTTGGAGCCATGCCTTCCAGGTCAAGTTTCTTCAGGTTCGGATGGAGGACTTGACCTTCGTCTTGTGAGAGGAGATCCCGTCACAGCAGGAGCGTGTATGGTGTGCAGATCGCCATGCAAATCAGGTATGGGAACCATGTCTGTCTGGGCCACACTGGGGCTATAAGTATGACCTTGGCTTCGCTGGTTTGAATCTTGTGTATTACTCTGGAAATTAAAGGTAATGATGTGAATGTGTATAGGAGAGGTTCGTTCCATCTGATGAGGAAGGCATCCCCTAGGGATTGTGTTCCCAGTCCTGCTCGTGAGCAGAACCTTGGGCATTTGATATTTCATGCTGCTACGAATAAGTCCATGTGTGGGAACCCCCACATGTGGAATGTATTGTATGATGTTGTCGTTCAGTTCCCATTTGTGTTCTTGGGGAAAACTGTCTGCTTAATGTGTCTGCCATCGTGTTCTGCCAATCTGGGAGACATGATGCTGTAATGGTGATGTGTTTATGGAACTGGTCCATAGTTTTATGGCTTCTGTGCCTAGGGAGTGAGATCAAGCTCCCACTATTGGTTTATGCACTGTTGTCCATCATGACTCTTATTGTTTTGTTCTGGATTTTTGGGAGGAAATGGTTACACGTGTTGTGAATGTGTGTAATTCGAGCAGGTTGATGTGTAAATGTGTCTTCATGGGAGACCACTTCCCTTGGGTTGTATGCTGGTTTAGGTGGGTGCCCCAGCTGATCAGCGAGGCATCTGTTGTGATCAGCATGGATGGTGGATTCGGCTGGAATGGAATCCCCGCACATACATTTCTTGGATTTGTTCACCACTGTAATGAGTGTTGGACTTTTGGTGTTTGTACAAATCCTAAAACTGTCTGTGCTTTTGTGGTACGTATACCGAGTTCAGACATCCCTGCAGAGCACATGTATAGTCGACCATGTTTTACTATGAAGGTGATGGCCGCCATATGTCCCAGTAGTTGAAGGCAAGTGTGTGCTGACCTCTCGGCTATTTGTGACCACTGATACAAGAGTAGTCAGTGCTGCAATTCTAGTAATTGGAAATGATACCTTGGCCTCTGTGACTCCAGATGCGCTCCAATGAAGTCCAATTGTTGTACTGGGTTTAGAGTAGATTTCAGTTAGTTTATTTGCAACCCTAGGGTGTGAAAGAGGGTTATAGTCGTTTGGGTAATATTTACTGTTTCTGTTTGAATAGGTCATTTCAGTAGGCAGTCGTCTAGGTTTGGGAAGATCAATATTCCCTGTCGGCACAAATGCTACGCAACTACTGCTAGCGTTTTGGTAAAAACTCTCGCGGTTGTTGGAAGTCCGAAAGGTAGCACTCTGTATTGGAAGTAGTCTTTCCCTACTGTGAATTGTAGAAACCTTCTGTGTGCGGGATGGATGGGGATATGAAAATATGCATCTTGTAGGTCGAGGGCTGAGAACCAGTCCTGCTTTTCCATCACTGGGATAACTGAATTCATGTGACCAGTCTGAATCTGTGGGTACAGACAAACTCACTGAATTTTCTGAGATCTAATATGGGTCTCCATTCACCGTTTTTCTTTTGAGTCAGGAAATAGTAGGAATAAAATCCCTTTCCCCTGTATTATTTTGGAACTTGTTCCATGGCACTGAGTTGAGTAGATGCTTTATTTCTTATCATAGTAGGTGCTTGTGAGAAAGGTCCCTGAAGAGGAATGGGGACAGGGAAGGGGGATGGGTAGGTGGAATGGAGATAAAAGGGATGGCATAACCTGTTTGAATGATCTCTAATACCCAGTAGTCTGTGGTGATGGAGGCCCACATATGATAGAATGGTCGTAGCCGATGACCAAAGGTCTGGGTTTTTGGTAGCACTGGCGCTAGTTGTTGGGGGAGGTCAGACTCTTGACCAACATTTAAAAATTGATTCTTGGATGGTGGTGCTTGGGTTGCCGCAGACCGAGACCGGGAAGGACAATGTCTTTGCAGCCGACATCTGTGTCTCTGGTTGTCATGTGGCCTTTGTTGTTGTTGCGATGTATGGTCTCTGTTGTGGGAATATGGTTGGCATCTTCTCTGGCTGTTTGGGGGCGTGTAAATGCCGAGGATTCTCAATATCACTCGTGTGTCCTTCAGGGAATGTAGGACTTCATGGCGGAGAACAGCTTGACCCTGATCAAAGGGAAGGTCTTCTATCTTAGTTTGGAGCTCTCGCAGGATACGTGAAGAACGTAGCCACAATGCTCTGCGCATTACTATTGCTATGTGTGTGCAGCCGTGTTCGCGACGTCAAGGGATATTTGGGGCGCTGTTCTGGCTATGAACTGTCCCTTATTAACGATCGCTTGGAATTGTTTCCTCTTATCCACAGAGATTTCATCGAGGAACTCGTTCAGTTTAACTTAATTATCATGGTCGTATTTCGCTAGCAACGTTGTGTAGTTGGCCATGCAGAATTGCCGAAAAATAGACTTTCCGCCCAAATAGATCTAATCTCTTCCAATTCTTGTTTTGAGGTGTGGATCGGGATTGGAGTGGTTTACCCCTGGCTGGCTGCATCCACCTCTAAGGAGTTGGGTTGTGGGTGTGAAAAAAGAAAGTCCATGCCTTTATTAGGTAAATAATACTTTGTCTGCAGGTTGGAAGAATAGTGGTTGGTGCTTGCCACACCATTTCCATCAAGGCATCATTTATTAGCAGAGCTATCTTTGCCATAGAAGAGGTGTGTACGATTGTTAAGAGTTGGTGTTGGGTCTCAATTACCTCCTCCAGCAGAATATTCTGCCGGTGTGCCATTCGCCTGAACAATTCTTGAAAATGTTTGAAGTCACCTGCAGCAGTGGAAGGTGGAGGCATCACCGATTGTCCGGAGAGGACGATGAATTGTGAGCAAGTGAGGTATCTTGTTATGTGGATTCCCCTTTATTGTCTCCAGTCTCCTCTGGTGCCTCTGAAGGCTCTGGTAATGATGCTGTTGTTGAGCGTACATGTCTCCTCTGAGGAGTTGGAGGTTTGGAGAAATGAGACTTGTAGGCTCCCCATGGATCCCATTGTGGCCATTGTATAGGGAATGGCATGGGAGGGCACATCCAGGGATTGGTGAGCCAAGGATGCACGTCCCTGGTAAGCTGCTCTCTGGTTCTTGTGTGGGACATTGGTATCTGGTGCCTGATGGGGAGGAGTGGCCTGATTAGAAGACTTCCTCCTCAAGTTCCTCCTCATCTTCGCTGGAAAATGGTGAAGCAGTAAGGGAATCTGGTTGGTCCGGTGCTGTTGGTGCCAAACAGAGGCGATCTGGGAGTAGAGATTACTTCCATGTCCACCTTATGTGTAAGAGGACACAGTGCCATTGTTTAGGGTGCTGTAACTTTCTGTGCCAACACTTTAGAAAGTAGCTTGGTTGGTACAGATGGTTTCGGTGTGGCCTTAGTCAGTGCTGGTGGTGTCCTCCCTGATATCTCTGTGAACAGTTCTGATGAAGTCGGTGCCGGCATCACCAGTGGCAAAGGCTGTGGCACAGTGTCCTTTGTAGGAGTAGTCAGTGCTGTGGAGGAGGAGGCTATTTTGTACCTACCACTTGACTCCTTTCCCCTGCCGGCAGAGGTCCCGTACAGGGGAGGTGTCCGGTGCAGGCAGAGTGGGCACCTCTGATGAGGTTGGCACTGAGGGTAGAAATCTCACTGGAAACTATTGCTTTTTTAACAATTCTCTGCTTGGGGAGGACGTGGCACTTTTCCTTGATTTCTTAGAGGAATTGGCACTTGCTCTGTCCACCGAGGATGTACCTGGAGAGTCCCTTGTTGAGGGTTGTCCAGGATCTGAGGTGGACATTAGGGATTTCTCCATTAAGATGAGTTTAAGTCGGAGATACCGGTCTCTCCTCGCTCAAGCTTTGAGGTTGCTGCAGTAAGCACACTTTTGTGGTATGTGCGACTCACCTAAACAGCGGATGCATTGCGAGTGCCCATCTGAAATAGGCACTGTGTCCTTGCATGAAGTACATCTCTATAAACTTGAGGATCCAGGCATATTTTTGACATCCCTCTTAGAAGTAACTTAGGATGGGAAAAACGGGAGGGAATTTTTTTTTTTTTTGAGGAATGAGCTGTCAAACAGGAGTAACTGAAACTTAACTAACACTAATTTAACTGACTAATTACTACTAACTGAGTTTTAACTAAATAATCTAACATCTTTTCTAGGATTTCTTTGATGCTGCTGGACAGCTCCGTCTCTGGCTGAGGATGGTTGAGAAGGAACTGTAGGGGTCGGGCTCTGTGCGTCCTAGATGTGCATGCATGTCCCAACCAGGCACTGCTACCGATCAATGGCGCTGGAATGTACTGACACCTGAAGTGGAGCACCCACAGGGACAGCACTCGAAGAAGATTAAGTTGTTTATCTTAATAATACTCAATATCACTCTTCTGAAAGAGAGAGCAGGCCTGCTGCTGGTAAGCACTGCTTCTTACTTCAACCCCCCCACTCCTGTCTTAACTCACAAAGGTAGTCTGAACTATGGGAGAGGGTATGCATCAAACATCTAGCTTGAACTTGAGCTTCTTACCCACAAATCCATTTCAATACTAGCCAATTGCTTACAGCACCAAGGGAAGTCAAATGAGGAGCTCTGGAAAGTATACACTATCTTGAGAACTCAAACTGACACCAATACCAACAGTAATAGGCTAACAATGCTAGTGACCCTGACTATAAAACTGCGTAAATTCTATTCCATTAAACTGAAAATGGACACTATTCTCATCCCTTGAAGACCTGGACTTCGCAGATGATGCCGCTCTCCTATCACATACCCATCATCATATACAAGAAAAAACGACTCAACGCATTCAGCCAGCTAATTGGACTGAAAATCAACTGCTCACGAAAGCTCATGCTCAAATAAATTGGTTAGTCTCTAAGGTGCCACAAGTACTCCTTTTCTTTTTGCGAATACAGACTAACACGGCTGTTCCTCTGAAACCTGCAATAAGACAGATATCAATCATGACCTTTAATATTGCCTCACCATCACCAGTACGGATAGAGGATTATGTTCTCACCAATATAGAAACATTCACATACTTGGACAGCACCATCAGCCAGGACATCTGGAACAAAATCAGTAAAGCCAGGAACACCTTCAGGAGCTTAAATACACTCTGGAAATCATCAAAATACAACACCAAAACCAAACTCAAAATTTATCAGAGCTGTGTACTTTCAACACTACTTTATAGTGCAGAATGTTGGGGAATGAGAAAGTATGACATGCCCAAACGGTCTTCATTCCATACGACCTGCCTCAGAAAAATCCTCTGCATCTTTTGGCCCAGAACAATCTCCAACCAAGATCTATTAACACAGTACAGCCAAGAAGATCTGAGCACCATCATTGCCAGGAGGCGTTGGAGATAGATCGGCCATGTGCTTTGGATGGAAACTGATTCTATTACCAGAGTAGCAATAAGATGGACACCTGAAGCAGGCGAAAACCAGGCTGCCCAAAAACAACATGGCAAAGAGCTGTGGAAGCCGACCTGAAAAACCTGAGGCACAGCTGGGAAACCATTGAAAGACTTTCCAGAAACAGACAGGAGTGGAGGAGCTTCGTCACTGCCCTAAACGTATAGGCATAATAGGAACATGATGATGATGAAACTGAAAATCTTAAAAGGAAGAGCCTACCCCTGTTCATTCAGGAATTACGAGCAACATTAAAGGTGGGAGACCACAGAGATGAGGAAGCTAGTCATACGTACTATGAAAGTCCTTGAGCTCCATTCAGCCAACCCTTAGGGATCTGACGCTGTATTGGGACAGTACTTTGGAACTTCAGCCTGAGAATTAGCTAGCAAGAAATGTAGTCAGCAAAAAGCAGCTAGTAAGAAAATTCAGCAGTGCAGAAGCTGTGTGGCTCTCTGCTCAATCCAACTCAAAGCTGCTTTGCAGGTATTTACCTTCAAATACCGCTCCAATTTCTTGCTGATTAGTTTGTTATTGAGAATACTTCTCGCAACTACTAAAGATGATTTCTTGGACTGCTCCATCATGGCCTAAAAGGAACAGGAATATTTAAAGAAACCAGAGTTAAGTTTTGATCTGAGTCATGTAACACTTCAGTAGTTGCTTCTAGCCCAGCGGTTCTCAAACTGGGGTCTGCGAGGGTACTCCAGGGGTCCGCAAGTTATGTCCAGGGCCACTGGCCCCGCTGATCAACTCCTCTCACTCCCTCCCAGTGCCTCCTGCACATCACAGACCAGCTGTTCAGCTGTGTGCAGGAGGTGCTGGGAGGGAGGGGGAGGAGCAGGGACGGGGTGCGCTCAGGGGAGGGAGCAGAAAGAGGTGGGGTGGGGTTGGGGTCTTGGGCTGAGTGGGGGTTGAGCACCTCCAGGGAAAATTAGAAGCTGGCTTGTGGGGGGGGGGGTGTCTCCGCAAAATATTTTAAAATCAAAATGGGGGTCCTCGGGCTGCTAAAGTTTGAGAACCGCTGTTCTAGCCACATGTTTATCAGTTATTGCAGACATGCTGAATGACTCTAGATGTGTTTGACACAATCAAGTTTCATATTTGCCACCGTCTACCACTCCACCAAATTTAGTTTTCAGCGGGCTCCAGAATTTGTATTGACAATGCACAGCTTTAGAGGTAATGGGCATGTGTGACTTTACATCCCATCTTTCCCTGGATGCCAAGTTTGGCTTTTTTGGCCTTGGGGAGGAAATCTCATCTTTCAATCCTCTTGTGGGCAGGGGTAGATGTAACATGAGCATTCTGACAAAAAACGTACGTAGTGGAGGGATACCGAGCACCTGAACAAGTCTGCTGCTGCCAGTGGCTTCCAAGGCACTCAGCTACCCCATTGCACCCTCAGTATCTGGCACTGCGTTAATTGGTAGCCATTTCATTGCTAATGTGCTTTAGTGCTAATATTTAAATAGTCATTGGGCTTCAGAATCAACACCTTCTTTAGACGTATGGGATAATTCAGAGACATCTGCTCAGATTATCTGTTTACAGATTTAGGAAGGCCATTTATACATGTGAGGTTCTCTTTAAAACCAGAAGAATCAGAACATCAGAGGATCGATTCTACAGCCAATGGGTCGTAGAAGATATGGGATCCTGCTAGCACTGTTCCTCACAATATGAAGAGATTACTTTTCTGCTGACCTCTTACAAGAGTGAAGATCAGTGTTCTACAATAATAGACGACCACATTGCAGTATCACAACTCTGAGCTGTTACCATATAGAGACCACCACTGCAGAAAGTTTTAATAAGGCTAGTCCTGGTTTTAGGTTTCATTTTCCCCATATAGCTCATAGGCTGTATGAATGCAATCATACCCAGTTTTTAGCATTCATCAGCTTGTTTTATTAATTAAAACAAAACCCTGCAACCTGGATTTACCATGCAGGGATAAGCTGATCTCCATATCTGCCCAGCCAGCTGTAGTCGTACATTGCCATATACACACACACTTTAAACCAGCTGCATGCTTACTCTGCGGTTGTGGTTGTGGTCAAGGGACTTCAGGTGCTTCTGGATAATGCCATACTGCATTGGAATGAAGAGGTCACATGCAGCACAGTGAGCAGCCTCCACCTTTTTAATGAAGTGTTCCATGCCAATATCTGAGGAGAGACAAGAGCTTTGTTCATCTACCTTGAGCTGTGGTGGCCACCTCAGGGAGTTTTGCAGCTTGTTCTGGGAGTTCATTTATCTTTAATATACTCATGCACCCCTGGTTGTTTCCTACAATGTGATGCTCAGTCTTGACCAATAAGGGTAAGGGGGAGCATTGCATAGCCATAGTCTAACAGACCTGAGGCCCAGGGTACGGCGGTACACCTCGAAGTAGAATGCTGCTGGTCACTGCTGCATCAGAGCATTGACTATAGCATGCAAAATGTTTCCAACTAGTTGATCACCAAGCTAGCTTGTAGTAGGACACAATTGTGTCCTACGTCAGTGGTTCTCAACCAGGGGTACGTGTAGCCCTAGGGGAGCGCAGAGGTCTTCCAGGAGGTATGTCAACTCACCTAGATATTTGCCTAGTTTTAGAAAAAGTGCTAGCGAAGTCAATACATACAATGACTTGTTTGTACTGCTCTATACACTGACATGTAAGTGATTTATTTTAGGATATGGTAAAGATGAGAAAGGAAGCAATTTTTCAGCAACTGTCCTGTGATACATTTTTTTAAGGTCTCATTTTGTAAGCAAGTAGTTTTTAAAAATGAGGAGAAACTTGGGAGTAAGACAGACAAATCAGACTCCTAAAGGGGCACAGTAGTCTGGAAAGGTTGAGTGCCACTGTACTACATTACTTGCTGTTTACACACCTCAGTGCCATCTCTCTCCTAGAAAGAGGAGATTACTTTCTATATTGTACTCTAACATATGAGAAATAAGGCTCCTGTATATTAATCTGCTAATTATTCTTGTGTGAAATTAGAGCTCTCCAAAATAACAAAATTACAATAGCGTGCAAGGTAAATATTAAAGCATAAATAGGGGGAAAGACTTCATCTTGCAAAAAGTAGTAGGGATGAAGAATCACCAGCTACAGACACGTGTTCCTGATCAATATTTCAGTTTTCCAGGAGCAGCTTTTAAAAGTTTGGTTCCACTCGAAGTTTACTATGCAACAAAAGGTGCCTCAGACGCTCTGTGTCTGCATAGGATCAGATGATTTAAGTAACAAGAATACTTTACTCCTCTTGGCTCTGTAGAGCAACTCCTATTTCTTCCCGTTTATCAGTCTCGTTTGCCATGTTACAGTTTACATGGCACCGGTGGGACTGACTGGCAACAGCAATTAGGTTGTACAATAACCTGGTTTGCTAAACCTTTACTGGTAACAAAAACAAGGAAAGAATCTAGTTTGAGTCTCAGATCTCAGGATAGCTTTAACCATGCTTTACTTGTGAACTGTGCACATTTTAAAAATTCAGCATAACACAAACAAAGAACCTCACAATGGCTTTTGTTTTTCCCATTTTCTGAGGGAAGTTGCACATTAAGGTAGCCTCACAAAAAAACCCATGAAGATGCAGGGAGACTTGCTCTTACCTTGGGTAAGATCTTGGTCTTTATAGATCTGTTGGATAACTGCATTAATATCTTCAATTGCTTTACGGCGTTCTTCGGTTTTCTTTGTTTTGTTAGCAACGTAATCCTGTATTGTACAAAAATATTTTATATTAAACTTCAGCTGTACATCTGACCATTAAATGTGAATTCAAAAATGCAAAGCACAACATGTATTGTACTTACTCTACACTGCAGTTGTGCCTTTCATCAGAGCATTTCAAGACATTACAGCCCCTTAGCCCTGCTCTAACTGTTCTCCTGAAGGTAGTCAAGGACTGTCTGCGCTTTACAGATGGTAAAGTGCAGAGGGTAAGTAACATTCAAAGTCACAGGGCAGTTGACATAGAGTTGGGAATAAGAACTCAGATCTTGATGTCCAGTCCTGTACTCTAATCACACCCGTAGTAGTAGTTTCACATCTAAGTTTTCATAGCTTGACTATTTGAACTATCCATTCACATCCAATTATCAAAGTTCTTTTGTTTGTATTTTTTTGTTAGGTCTCCGACAACCAACATGAAATAGAGGTGCACTGTATAGCCTGAAGTAATGGGAAACTTAACCAAAGATTCACCTGGAGGAAGTCAGCTGTCTGCTGAGGCAGTTTTGTTCCAACAAATTTGAAGTGCTCCTTGTGGAATTTGCTTTCCAGATGAGCATTCATCTCATCCTCATAGAAGGTCCGATATTTGCACAGCGAACAAACAAACTGAATCCTACCAAGAGAAAGTTAGAACCAAGTGAGAGATCAAACCCCAAGCCCAAGGGTTCCACTCCAGACTCCCCATCAGCTTGAAAATACTAGTTATTTCCCTACTAATACTTAGGGGTACAATTAAAAAAAGAGCACAGCTCATTCAAGAGGACAAGTCTTATACCTGGTTTGAATGGTCACATCCCTCCTACAGGTTTTAATACAGACTTTAAGGCCAGAAGGGCCCATTAGCAGTAATTAGTCTGACATCTTGTATAACCAAGGGCAGAGAATTGCAGTAATTCCTACATCAAGCCCAATAATTTATGGGACAGCTAGAGAGGATTTTAAGAAGGATGTCTGTCTTGATTTAAAGATTTTGTTCATAATGTAGAATCCACCACAGTCTGTAAGTTGCTCCAATGGTTAATCATGTTCACTGTTAAAGTTGTGCAACTTACTTCATGTGAACTTCTCAAGTTTCAGCTTCCAGCCACTGGATCTCATTATGCCTTGGTCTATTAGATTAAAGAGCCCTACAGTCAGAGAGTTCCCTGCATAGGTAACTAAGGGCTTAGATAGGACTCTCACAGTTCACTTATTTAGTTTATCAAAGATAAGGCTAAGCCTCACTGTAAGGCAGGTTTCCAGTCTGTGAATTATTCTTGTGACACTTCTCTGAACCCTCCCCAAATTTTCCAATTTTTTAAAAAAGAAGTGGACACCAGAACTGGACACAATATTCCAACAGCGTTCTCAGCAGCATAATTCACAGAGGGGGAGGTATTGATTAGAGTTTGCCATTTTATAGTTAGCTAACAGTCGTCTGTACTTTTGTAATACTTTTGCCTTACCAGCTCCCTATGAGGTGTTAAGTCAATTTTACAGATGATGGAGAGATGGGTACAGAGAAGGTCAGGTAACTAACCCTCGTTTTACAAACTAGTCAGGTAGAGCCAGGGACAAAAGCCAGAACCCAGATGCCGAGGCCCATGTTCTAAACATTAGGCAATCCTCCCAGAGTTCTCAGACAGGATGTATACTGTGTCACTGGAAGAGGAAGATGTACCTTTCTACCATGCGATCCCGATGCCTCTTTTTCTGCCTCTCTTGAGTTTTCTTGCCTGCCTGCAATTTGCGCTTGATTTGACTGATCTCTTCTTGAATTGTTAAAGCACCTAGATGTATAAAGCAGGTTGTGTTTCAGGGCACTATGTGTGGACACCAACTGATTAAGAGGTTTCACCTAGACGAGTCTAGTAGCCAACTTGACTGACCCATATAGCTCAGAGATGACAAAGTTATAGCTGAGTGTTGGAAAGAGCTGCTCCCTTAACAATTCCTGCTGTTGCCCAATTAAAGGAGCATTGCTAGTCTATTAACAGATGTCCCATCACTCTCTGGCCCAGACTTCAGAAAGGCTGAGCTTGGGCACGAGGGTGAGAGAATACCTCTTCTGATACAGTTTCCTAACCCATCATTTCTGATGGTGATATAATGCCCCTGGTTTTACTGGGAAAAGGCGGCCCATTTTAGATTAGATGTGAATCTGACAGTTTTAAGAGGCAACCACTCTCACCCCTTTGGCTTTTGTGCACAGGACACACACGAGATGAAGGTTGACAGTGAAATAAGAACTGAATGCCTCCTATTAAAAAATCCTAATTTTTTCAAAACAGGGAAGTAACTTCCACTGTTATACTGGAATGGTACCCGAGTACCCCTTTCGTTTCCCAGCCAAGGCTTCTCATATGGTTTTATACTGCTGCCATCACATTCCACTGATAGCAATGGCAAGTTTGATACTGTGCTATCAGGTTTCTATTTAGACAGGTTCTTCCTCTGGTGAGAGGTCACCATGCTTCTCTAAGCAACCCTCTCCCCAGCTGCCACAACAGTGCTAGCATATCAAACTATCACATGGACTCTACTCTAACCAATTAAAACAACGAGAAGTCCTTGTGGCACCTTAGAGACTAACAAATTTATTTGGGCATAAGCTTTCGTGGGCTATAACCCACTTCATCAGATGCATGGAGTGGAAAATACAGAAGGGAGGTATAAAAATACAAAGCACATGAAAGATGGGAGTTGCCTTACCGAGTGTGTGTGTGTGTGTGGGGGGGGGGGTCCAGTGCTAACGAGGCCAATTCATTTAGGGTGGATGTGGCCTATTTCCAACAGTTGACAAGAAGGGGTGAATATCAGAGGGAAAATTACTTTTGTAGTGCTAATGAGGCCAATTCAATCATGGTAGATATGTCAGTATCCACCTAACTGATTTGGCCTCGTTAGCACTGATCCCTCACTCGGTAAGGCAACTCCCATCTTTTCATGTTCATATACCTGCCTACTGTATTTTCCACTCCATGCATCTGATGAAGTGGGTTATAGCCTACAAAAGCTTATGCCAAAATAAATTTATTATACACCAGAAATCTCATATGAGACCTATAACACTGGCTAGGAGCCAGGCAGTCACCAGATGCTGTGCTGGATTTCCCTATGTTTCCTAAAGCACCTCAGTCATGACCAGTAACATACCCTATTATTCTAGGCCTAGCAGGGTGCCAGACAGACAGATATCCACTAGGGATTACGTACTGGGTACAGAAACCAGTGCAAGCTCTAGAGTGATGATCTGAGTTAAAGCTCTAGTCTCTCATCCTAATTCACCACCTTTAGGCTTTTGTTCCCTGAGCTGTAGCTTGTACAGATGGTGCAACGCAGTGCCTGAACCAAGTCAGTCAACAGACTATTACTTGGAGCTATTTCCTCCACAGCAGAGTCCTTCATTGGCAGAAGGTTTATGATGTACAGAGATGTAAGGTCTGAAGAGCCTTAGCACATCCCTTGGTGATGAAGTTCTTGGCTCATTTCCCAAGAATGCTTTTACAGAAGTACACTCAGACTCACCTTTCTCAGAATCTTTTCCTTCTTCATCTTCACCCTCCTAAAATACAATTTCAAGAGGTTATCAGCAATCCCTAGCTATAACTTTTGTTTGTCTTACACACAAAGTGAGTGCATACTAGTTTTACATCTCTTAACCATCCTGCTCCCCAAAGAGACTCCCTCCTGACTTCAGATAGCACAGTTCCCTGTCCGAGGAACACATTTAGCCTGCGATTTGGTAACAGTACTACACACTGTTGATTTCTAGGTTTCCTCCCCCTATTCCCAGTCATTTTCATAAATTCTTTAGTCACACATATTCAGCTCTTTGAAGCAGGGCCTGCCTTGCTATGCACCTGTGCAGTGCTCCAATCAATCTCTATTGGGGCCTGCAGGCATTACTGCAATACAAAATAAGTAATCTAGGGAGGATTTGCAACCTTCAAGGTTTCTTCTACGAGGATCCAATCCCCCTCCTCCCCACCAATCCCAGCTCTCTGCCACTGAAAGGTAAGAAGTGGTTCCCACTCACACTGCAGGAAGATTCATTTGGTTTTAATGCTGCCACCATAACATTCTGCCCTCCACACTAGTTACGTGGCCACTCATCCACTTCCCTCAAGCACTATGGTCTTTACTGTGAATTACAAGTGTTAGTTTCACTTACAGCTTTAGAGCCCTCCTTCTCTGCTGCTTCTCCTTCAGTCCCTTCCTCTGAAAAGCACATCACAAATGGTCACCATACAAAAAGTAACAGTTGGGTAGCTCAGCAAAGAATGGTATTAACAACTTTACCACCAAATTAAAGATTCAAGAGAAATTGAAATGTCAGAGCCAATTACTACCTGAAACAAAGGCACTCTGATAACTTCACATGACTAAGAACTAACTCATTAGTAGTCACCAGAGAGGTTCTTACCATTCTCAGAGTCAGAGTTGTCAGAGCCATCAGTTTTTGCTGCCTTGCTGTCAGGTTCATCAGTGCTGTCAGTTTGTTTTCTTTTCTTAGAAGTAGGGTCCTTCTTCAGTTTCTTTTTCTGTGACTAGAAAGGAAAATATCATCAGTCCCCAAATATACATTCTGAGACCATCCCCTGCCAGCAGCAAATAAGTCTGCATTAAGCCACCTTAAAGGAGCTTTATATTGAACTAAACTTCCCTGAACACTCAGTTATGCAATGTCAGTCAAGACAGATAACATTTGGCACAGTCCTTCACAGCAACCACCCTTCAGCATATCAGATTAAACCACAAAACTATAGCACATTGACTTTCCTAGCTTTACAAAAAGAGCATCAAGGTTAAACATTTTGGATGCTAAGACTGCACTATGAATGAATGTGGCCTCTTCACACCATTTAGAAAGAACACTAAGATGCCAAGCAAATAATGCACAGAGATACAAATTACACTGTGGAAACTAAGTATGGTATCTCAGAGAATAGGGCCCTTTGCACTCAGAGCTGGACAGTGTAGTTTGTTGGGAAGTGAACAGTCTCTATATGAGGTAAATGGGTGGGAGGGGATTGCACAGGTACTTACTTTAAAGTCTGCGTCCCACATTTTCCAGTTTCTCCTCATTCGCTGTTTCATGCCGCCTCCTCCAAAGCGCATGTTTCCAGAGAAACCTCGCATTCCCTGGAACATGCTGAGTTCTGGGATAATGTTGTGGGAGAAGAGGGATGGGAGCCTAGAGGAGCCGTGGGGACCATGGCCCCGCCCTCCCATTGGCTGTGGCGGCTCATTCCACTGTCCGCCCATGTGCCCGGAATATGAAGATGCCATGGGTCTGTTATTTCGCCCGTCTCTGGCCCAGTTCTGACCCCGCTGGCCAAAGTTGTCCCGTGCTCTGTTCTGGTACTGGTCCCTGTGGTTCCCATAGAAGCTGTCATAGCAACCTTCATAGGCATTTTCGGTGTCATGTTCAGCCTCACTGTAATCATAGCCGGATCTGTATAGATCACGGTCGTTCAGTGAAGACCTTGAGTCGTAGGACTCATATGTATCATACCTGCAAGAGTTGCACAGCAAGCAAGGAATCCAGTCAGTAGCATATAAGGCACCACATTACAGCCTGCCGAGAAATGGCAGCAGAAAGATTAAACAAAAACAGAACTGTTCCAGTCTCATTTATATCAAAAAAGGCTCAGAGGTTTCACTCAACATAGGAGTTTTTCTGTGTGATACAGCAGCGGGAGAAAGGGGCAGCACAAGGCAAAGGTCAGGAGAAGGGCATAAACAGAATGACAAGGAGTGGCAGGGATTCAGTTCAACCTCAGTCCATCACCTTAGTCCATCACCATATCTAGTCAGATTTACATATGCCTAATGAGCCAGGAAGCACACCAAACTAATCTTCAATTTCTCTGGAAATTACTGTGTCACACACTGATCTTTTTTAAAAAGAAAAGTTCCCAAGCTGAGCAAAGGTTCCTCAGTTAGCAGTGCTGTGGATTTTCAACTGTGCGGACATTCAGATTTTCTGATTTAAATTTAATATATTCACCACCCGCCCTCTATTTAGCTATGCTTAAATCAGACTGAACAATCCAAATAGTTAAGAATAAATGCAGAGCCAAAAAATAATAGTCCTGATTCTCTTCCCCACCCCCCCATTCTGAATTGTTACAAGGAATGGCTTAATTTAGGCCTTGTCTGCACAAGAAAGTTTGTGTATAATGCATGGTGTGAATTTAAGCCAACAGCTATACTGGTAAAAACGCCTTATGTGGGCATTTATTGTGGTATAAGAGTGCCTTTTCTTGATTTAGCTTGTGTTGCTTGGGAAGGGTTTTTACCAAGTCAACTTTCCCATGTAGACATGACTTAGAGTTATTACTGGTCACTGTAGTTTCCACAAAACCAGTTTTTAACCAGGACAGTTTCAGAAGACAAATACAAAACCTGCAGAGGAGTTTTAGACTTAAGTTCTGTAATATCTAAAGTAGTGCCTCTGTACATCTTATGCAGCGGCTGACAGACTCAATTTGAAGCAAAGATGATATATCAAAGTTTAAGGGGAGGCTCCACACTCTTCATGATAACTTGCTACTTTACCAGCTGAGGTGAGGGAAATCCACACCCACCAAGACAGAACACAAATTACACAAGGAAGCAAGAACAAAGTGTCAAACTAGCACTGACCACTGCGGCACAAACCCCAATATTTATGCTTTATAGCAAGGTCATGAAAGCAAGGGAATTGGAAAGGAACAATGACTGAGGAGGAGACACACTAACCCCAAGGCCACAAATAGAGAGCCATTCCATCAACTGATACGAGAAGAATCATTCCGACTAGCAATCACCAAAAAAATCTTTAACTGGTAAAGCTACAGGTGCCCATTTACATAAGCCGAAGCTTTCACTGCAGCAACTGAACAGCCCTCCCCACACTTTGCTTTTTAGGAAATGAGACTAAAGGCTGAAAACTGATGTTTTCTAAACCACTAATTTCATCCTTTTGTCCCTTAAATGGTTTACTACATTCACTCTGGATATTTGATAACTCTTCTCCAGCAAAAGCTAGAATCAAGAGCTAGAACCTTAACAGGGCTGGGTTACCAGCCAAGTATCATCTATCATGACAGAACTATGCATGGTAGCTTGCCTGATGCTTGGGGCTTGGAGCAGAAGATCCCAGTTGTGTGGTGTCTGAATAATAGACAAGGGCTGGAACATCAAATTCAAAGTTCTCATCTTATAAAATTAGAACCCAAGAGTTTAGTCAATTAAACTGTTCACCTGCTGCCTTGCAACAGTCCTTTCCACTCCCAACAAGAGAGGTACAGATTCATAGATGAGGCTAGAAGATACCACTGTAATTGTCTATGATCTCAAGAATAACAGGCCAAAGAACTTCCCTACAGCATCTCTTTTAGAAAAACATCCAATCTCGATTTAAACATTTTACCCTTGGTAAGTTGTTCCAATGGTTAAGTACCATCACTTTGAAAGTTTGCACCTCAACTTCAGTCTAAGATTTGTCTAGTTTCAACTTGTTTACCTTAGTCTGGTAGATTTAAGAGGCTGCTATTATCAAGTATTTTTCCACAGGATGGATTTTTTTTTTTTTTTGAAAACTCTGATGTACTTTACATGAGTGCTTTTAAACAGAGTACTCCACCAAAATCTATTTGATGCAAGACTTCAGAGGAGTAATTCCTTAAAACTTTGTGAAGCCTACTGTACATTTTCCCTCTATTCCATAAACACAGTTAACGTAGCAATTTTACAATATTCAAAAGTCATTATATGCTACTAGTAATTACTATTGAATTATACTTTTGGTAAACATATCCCAAGTTTTTGTGATAAACTTCATAAAAAGTTTATATAGTGGTTGCTTAAAACAAAAGTACAGATGCAACAATAGTTGACTGCAAACAAACCACAATGCACCCCAAATAAAAGGATGATAATGTATAAAAGTCTCTTGCATGACATTTCTTACTACTAACAAGCTATGCTTTCATTCTAGAGAAGAGGTTCTGGTTTGCTTACATTATATAGAATTTAGTTTAAGTTATTTTGACAACGTGTCTGCATACTTCGTATTTGAACAGTAGCAGACAAACTTCAAGTTCTCTACAAAATAGATGTCTCCCCTACATGGATGTAAACCTGCTATTGTTCAAATCAATACTTGCACATAAGCAAAATACACAGATGTAAAAATACTCAGAAATGGATTTGCTGGGATGAATTAATATTTCACATAAACCTAGAATGAACAGCAGTGTTGTAGAAGTATTACATTTTGAATATAAATTCATTTTGAAATTTAACATGAGAAAATCTTTGTGAAGTGAACAGTCCTTATTAGTACTGCATATATTTCTGATTTAAAAACATGGCCAAAACCTCATTTGATCTTTTCTGGACAGCTATACTGTATTCCCAGTCAGCAACCCAAAACTGGAACAAAAATGTCACTTCTAGACTAATAGTTAAGCTTAAAATCAAATGAGGGACAAAGGCAAATGAATGTTGTGGCAATGCTATAGAAATGAAATACATCAGCAGGCTCCCAGAAATAGAAATATTAAGGAATCCCTTCTTTATTCATCTCCAGTTTAAAATTGAGAAGATTTTTTCCCCCCAAGTTAAACAAATCCTACTACTGCTGTAAAGATTGCATCACAATTCCAGTACCTGTCAAACAGACTATCAAGACTTCACTACTCAAACTGGGATACAAATGACTTATTTAAAAAATATAAACAAAAGAAGGAAAATCCAGCTGAGCCAATTCATCTGTTTCCCCTTGAGAGCCAAAATGTGAAGACACAGTGAGAATGAGGTCAAAATGAGAAAGAAGTAAGAGGTTGCAACTCTGATAGTCAGCAGAAGATTAGAGTAGCGGTTCCCTCACGAAAAGACACTAACCTGTCTAGTACTGAATCTTTTCTTGATCTCTAGACTCACCTGTCTCCACCTGAGCCATAATGTCCTCCTTGCATTGTGTCCGTTTCTAGATGAGACACCATATCTAAGCGCTGGTTCATTTTTGCTATAACAGCATCGGCACCCGTGGAAGCATTAGGGTCTGTGTCTGAATTAGGCATTTCCCAAGAGTTTGAAGTGGCCATACCATACCCATAATTGCCAGAGTTATCTTGACCATATCCATATCCATAACTATATCCTTCGTACCCTGAAATGAGAAAGCGTCATTGAGATTTTCAGTCAAGCAGCTGAGCTAACATTTCTATCCAAGCTCAGACGCAGAAGTCCCAAGAATGCCCCTTCCCCACAGAATGGGGAAGTTTTAATTTACATTTAACCCATTTTTCCCTTACAAAACACCTGCCAAGGTGTGTTAGTGTATCCAACACCAGGACTTGAAGGTCAAAACACACATGGAGGAAACTTCACACCAAATCCCAGCAATATAGTAACAGTCTACAATCTGCCCCAACTAATATTTAACACTCAATTTTCATTCTTGCTCTCACTCATGGACAGGGCAGGCTGCAGTGTAGCATACGCAAAGCCTTCCATGGCAATCCATCTGCCTGATAAAAACAGATTCCAGAGAGAACATGGGCCAGTCACCCTCAGAAAGAATAGCAAGTGTGGCATGGACATTTAGGTATGTGTAAAGAGTGTAGGTTGTGTGAGAAGAAAATACAAGATAACGTATTTAGGACAAGCCTAGTTTAGTTCAAAGTGGGCTTGTCTCTGTCAGTTTGACATGAAGTTGTGCTGTATCCATATCCAGTTATGTTCTGACTTCATAGCCAAATGAAATAAAATTCATACCTCTAAGCTAAGCAGTCAGTTCACATTATAATTGCAGTGATTTGTTCGAATTAGAGGACATCACTGTATCTGGGGTCTATTCTTCTAGAGATGCATAGGAATTTGTGCAATTCGAAAGATGGGACAACAAGCCCCCCACTAACTTTGACCAGCACACATATGACTCATGTCACTTCTGTTCCCTCTCCTATCCACACATAAATGAGAGAAATGGCCCTCTCAGTTGCATGTTATCTCAGGGGTGATAGAGAACAGTTTCCTCAAATGCAGCCCATGGCATGCTACTTACAAAGCAGACAGGGACAGAAAACTGACTAAAATGGTATCAAGTGTTCTATGCTGTTTTCCCCCTTTTAACTTGCATATTAGGTTTGCTCAGTTCACCCATCAGCATGTCCTACTACCAACCCTGCAGTTCTGGGATTCTTAGTATCATGAAAGTTAAAGCAGAGATTTGCTAATTTGCATTTATGAATCAAAACGCTATTGTGAACAAATTGTGATTTTGCAAGTGAAACAGACAGTACCACCAGATTCTAATATCTTTTGTAGTTTAAGAATATTTAATAGCTTTAGGAGGTAGCATGAGCCAGTGGACCGAGCACTTACCTAGGGGTCAGGATACCTAAGTTCTATTCCGGATATGCCACTGACCTAGAATGTCTTTGGGGAAGACACTTAATCTCTCTCACCTTCTCTCTGTCTTGTCCCTTTAAACTGTAAATTCTTCAGGACACAGACTATATCACAATACGCATGTTCAGTGCCTAGCATAACAGTACCCTGATCTTAGATGGGGACCCTAAGTGATACTCTAACACAAGTAGTAAAACAATGACACTGCTAGCAAGCTCACCTTACTGTATATTTTGACAAAATAACTAGTTGATTGAAAAGTGGGAAAAATCATGAATTGTCTGGTTTTTACAAAAATAAGTTTTCCAGCTAGCTCTGAAGATAGTGAAAAGGTCATAAAATCCTTCGTACAACACTGACTACAGTTTAAACTACCAGTCAGTGATACAAAAAAAAAAAAAAAAAATACTATACTGCTCTGCTAGTCAGTCTTCGTGGAGTGGATAGAGGCTTCCTTGTGCTAATTAAAGCATGCAGATTAGGGAGATTCTCCCACATAGCTGGGCATCACACTCTAGTCTGAGCACAGTGAGCATGGCCTCTGGAAAAAGACAAGTATTTATAAAGGGAGGCCTGTTTCAGCCTAAATGCAGACACACTGCCATTTTTTGCGTCTTTCAGGCACAAGAACTAGAAATTCAGTCTTCTAGCATGCTAGGACAGCACTTTAATCTTCAGTGCCGTTTCATAGAGAAGTGATATCAGACAGAAAGACTGAAGGAAAACAGATAGTGGATTCAAACTGTGCTGACTTCTGGGAACAGAAATATCTGGTTTTGTTGATGCACAATGCAGAACAGTAAAGAGTTGACTGTCACAGTTATATGGGCTCTGCAACGCTGACCGAAATAGTTGTGTGACCTGAAAGGATATTATTCAGACGTGGTGGAAGAGATTTGAGCTGTGAAAACCTTCAATTTTATAATCATTTTTCTAACTGATTACATTAAATGACATTTGTTCATGATAATGTATTAAGATTTTACTATACTTGCCTCTGTTTGTCCCAGAGTTCCAGTTGCCATAACCTAGAAAAAGACCAAAAGGTGGTCAAAACCCAAATTATATGGTATGCTCTAGCTAGAACAGCTGGCATTAAGGAGAATCTATTCTATCTAAGATCTGATCATCAAATGCACCCAAATAAGCCAGACTGTATCACAGTGGATACTCCTAAAAAGAGATCAAAGCTTGACAAACCTGTATTACTCTGGAGGAATTCTGCGCCAGTGAGCATACAGAATTCATGTCCCCCGCAGATAAGGATGGGGAAGCAAAGGGAAGTCGCAAGAGCTGCCAGGTGCCCCTCCCCAGCAGCACAGGCATGTGGTATCCAGCACCCAGAAGAGAGGTAAATCACCGGGGGGAGGGGACCCTCCTATGAGCATAGTTTAGGGAGGACGGGGGCATTGCCCCTCCCCCCAAAGACGTGTGGGGTCACATGCCGCTGCCCATTTTTGCGAGTGCAGAGCTGCCTGGATGATGGAGTGTGCCCCTCCCGCTAGCTAACTCCTCCTCCTGGGTCCTGGTGCCAGTCATACCCCTCTTCTATGCGTGCTGGGAGCCATCCTGTTTTCTATACAATGGTGAGGGCCACTGGTGGTGGTGGGGAAATAGGCAGTGGGGAAGAAAGGGGGATGGGAGCAGGAGACTGGGGAGAGGAAGGCAATGGGATGGGGGAGAGGCAGTGAAGAAAGGGATAGGATGGGGAAGAGAAGCGGATGTGGGAGGGATCCTGGCACTGGCGGCAGCATCAGCTGGGGTTCCCCAATTAAGCAGGCCCATCAAACCCCCACCCCGACAAACCCCACACCCCTGCACCTGGACCACCCTGACAAGCCCCCTGCAACTGGACCCCCCACTGAGTCCCAACCAGCTGCACCCAGACCCCAAACCCAGCAAGTCCCACTCCCAGACCCCCTCGCTGAATCCCATCTTTCTCCACCTGGACCCCCCTGCAGAGTCCTACTGTCCCTGCATCTGGAACCTCCCTTGTGCATCCAGATCCTCCACTGAGTTTCCCCCAGCCAGGGTGCCCCACACAAAACCCTCTTATCCCACATCTAGATCCACCTACACCAAGCCCTCCACAGTTGGGCCCTGCTGGGCTGAGCCTGCCTGCCCACAACTGGTGCAAAGCCCAAGGGTGTTTCTACAGCAGGCCCGGCCCTTGTGCTGTGCTAGGGTCAAGTGCAGCCTCACTGCAGAGACCCTGTACAATGGGTGGGGGGCCTGCAGGGTGATCTCTCACCTCTGTGCAGCCAGTGGTCTGTGCTCACCACTGCTATATTGGAGCCTCCACATTTATTTATTAACAAATAAAATTTGCAAAATTTTAAAATATTGTGTGCAGCATTTTTATTTTTCTTGGTGCAGAATTCCTTAGGAGTACCATATCAACAACAAGTAGGAAACGTGCTCTAGAGAGTAGTGTCCTTATTCATCAGTTTCAGTCAATGTTATTTTAATTCAATCTTAAAATTTCTAGAACTTGTGACTGCATAGATACCATTCCAACTGGGAACTGGTGAGTTTTGTCTTTCAAGATCTACAGAAAGATGCAGCTTGGAACAAAGGCTGTTATTTGCCCAAGGCCTAGCTCACAGCATCATCTTGGACTGGAAGGGAAGGAATCACTCACTAGCAACTTGCTTTCCATCTGGTAATCCAGTGACAGATAATTTTGTACTTATTGATAGGTGCCATCATACCAGGGCAGAACATGGATTAGCTGCAATGGTAATTATGGCCAAAACAGACAGCACCACTTGATTTTAGCCAAAGTTTCTGAACCCCCACTGCCAAATCCCTAATACACAGAAATCTCCCTGCTGGGTTAGGTTCAGCAAGATTCCTTAGGTGTGAATCCCCCTATGTGGGCTCCCAAATTCCTATCCAGACCCAGAGTAGGACTATACTGGATCTGCTACAAAGAGTGTAGGGAGCAGGACTGGTCATAACTTTTTTGGTGAACTACTTGTATCTTAAATCATAGAATCACCGAAGCTTAGCACTGGAAGAGACACAGTCCTGTATAGCAGGAGGCAATTAATGTCCCTGCACACTTGCATGACCAGGGCTCCCACTGCAGAATTTAGACTTATAGAAGATTAGGGTTGGAAGGGACCTCAGGAGGCCATCTAGTCCAACTCCCTGCTCAAAACAGGACCAATCCCCAACTAAATCATCACACCCAGGGCTTTGTCAAGCTGGGCCTTAAGAAGCTCCACCACCTCCCTAGGTAACCCATTTCAGTACTTTACCACCCTCCTAGTGAAATAGTGTTTCCTAATATCCAACCTAGACCTCCCCCACTGCAACTTGAGACCATTGCTCCTTGTTCTGTCGTCTGCCATCACTGAGAACAGCTGAGCTCCATCCTCTTTGGAACCCCCCTTCAGTTGAAGGCTGCAATCAAACCCCCCCCCCCCCGGACCCCTCTTCTGCAGGCTAAACAAGCCCAGTTCCCTCAGCCTCTTCTCATAAGTCATGTGCCCCAGTCCCCTGATAATTCTCGTTGCCCTCTGCTGGACTCTCTCCAATTTGTCCACATCCTTTCTGTAGTGGGGGGCCCAAAACTGGACACAATAATCCAGGTGTGGCCTCACCAGTGCTGAACAGAGGGGAATAATTATTTCCCTCAATCTGCTGGCAATGCTCCTACTAATAAAAGAAAAGGAGTATTTGTGGGGCACCTTAGAGACTAAAATTTATTTGAGCATAAGCTTTCGTGACCTACAGCTCACTTCTGAGCTGCAGCTCACGAAAGCTTATGCTCAAATAAATGTGTTAGTCTCTAAGGTGCCACAAGTACTCCTTTTCTTTTTGCAGATACAGACTAACAGGCTGCTACTCCAAAACGGCTCCTACTAACGCAGCCCAATATGCCATTAGCCTTCTTGGCAAGAAGGGCATACTGCTGATTCATATCCAGCTTCTCATCCACTGTAATCCCCAGGTCCTTCTCTGCAGAACTGCTGCTTAGCCAGTCGGTCCCCAGCCTGTAGCGGTGCATGGGATTCTTCCATCCTAAGTACAGGACTCTGCTCTTGTCCTTGCAAACCTCAAATTTCTTTTGGCCCAATCCTCCAATTTGTCTAGGTCACTCTGGACCCTATCCCTACCCTCAGAACTTGTTGCAGGTGCAATCCATCCCACCATCCAGATCATTAATAAAGATGTTTAGGGGATGGAACAAAAATGATTAGGGGTTAGGCAACAAAAATGATTAGGGATATGGAACGGCTTCCGTATGAGGAAAGAATAATAAGACTGGGACTTTTCAGCTTGGAAAAGAGATGGCTAAAGGGAGATATGATTGAGGTCTATAAAAATCATGACTGGTGTAGAGAAAGTAGATAACGAAGTGTTGTTTACTACTTCTCATAAACACAAGAACTAGGGGTCACCAAATGAAATTAATAGGCAGCAGGTTTAAAACAAATAAAGGGAAGTATTTATTCACACAATGCACAATCAACCTGTGGAACTCCTTGCCAGAGGATGTTGTGAAGACCAAGACCATAACAGGGTTCAAAACAGAACTAGATAAATTCATGGAGGATAGGTCCATCAATGGCTATTAGCCAGGATGGGCAGGAATAGTGTCCCTAGGCTCTGTTTGCCAGAAGCTGGGAATGAGCAACAGGGGATGTATCACTTGATGATTACCTGTTCTGTTCATTCCCTCTGGGGCACCTGGCACTGGCCACTGTCGGAAGACAGAATAATGGGTTACATGGACCTTTGGTTTGACCCAGTATGGCCATTCTTATGTTGAACAAAACCGGCCCCTAACCGACCCCTGGGGCACTCCCCTTGATACCAGCTACCAACTAGACACTGAGCCGTTGATCACTACCCGTTGAGCCCAACAATCTAGCCAGCTTTCTATCTACCTTATAGTCCATTCATCGAATCCATACTTCTTTAACTTGCAGACAAGAATACTGTGGGAGACCGTATCAAAAGCTTTGCTAAAGTCAAGGTATATCACGTCCACTGCTTTCCCCATATCCACAGAGCCAGTTATCTCATCATAGAAGGCAATCAGGCTGGTCAGGCATGACTTGCCTTTGGTGAAAAAGACAGTTACCTTTTCCGTAACTGGTGTTCTTCGAGATGTGTTGCTCATGTCTATTCCACAATAGGTGTGCATGCTCGCCATATGCACCGGTGCCGGAAGATTTTTCCCCTAGCAGTACCCATAGGAGGGGGAGCACCCGAGCGGTGCCTCCAGGGCGTGGTATAAGGGGAGCTGCATGTTCTTCCCCCCCCCCCCAGTTCCTTCTTGCCAGACAACTCCGACAGAGGAGGAGGAGGGCAGGATGTGGAATAGACATGAGCAACACATCTCAAAGAACACCCGTTAACGGAAAAGGTAACTGTCTTTTCTTCGAGTGATTACTCATGTGTATTCCACAATAGGAGACTCCAAGCTATATCTATTGGAGGTGGGTAGGAGTTCACAAGTTCTGAGGACGGAGGACAGCCCTGCTGAACGCAGCATCATTCCTGGTTTGGGAGATGATCGCGTAGTGCAAGGTGAACGTGTGAACCGAAGACCAGGACATTTGTAGAGCCACCACGTGGATGGGGATGTGGGCCAAGAAGGCCTGCGCTTGAGACGAGTGCGCCTTCACAATTGGGGGGATGGGGACGGGACCCGCCAGCTCTTAACAGGTATGGATGCACGAAGTGATCCGGTTGGAAAGTCGCTGACTGGAGATCGACCGACCCCTCATGTGCTCAGCTAAGGTGATGAACAGTTTCGAGGACTTTCTGAATGGCTTGGTCTGCTTGAGGTAGAAAGCCAGAGCCCACTGCACACTGAGCATGTGGAGACGGCACTCGTCACTGGACACGCGGCGCGTGGGGCAGAGGACTGGCAGAAAAATGTCCTGCTCTATGTGATAGGCAGAGACCACCTTCGGGAGGAACGCAGGGTGTGGGCGGAGCTGGAGCTTGAACTTATGAAACATCGTGCATGGGGGCTCGGAGGTCAGGGCCCTCAGTTCCGAGACCAGCC